TCATCTTAAATTTTTAAAATCTAACTGCAGATTCGTAATCAGCGACTTTTAATATAGTTAAAACCTTGGCATTATTAATTTTCTATGATCGTTTAAGATTAAATTCTTTCTGTGATCAATTTTTCCTGCACCCCTAAACACAAATACACCCCCTGCTTTAAGGGTGCACGCGATCAATTCGGCATAGGGCTCATTCGAAAGGGCACGGTTTAGCCTTTAATTTCTGATATATGCAAAATTTGTACCACGTCAGGGCTCAGCTCTATAATTTTTCGAAAATGGCCAAAAACGCTGTTTTTAGGGGTTTCAACCCCTTTTTTCTCGAAAACGTGACGTGATGGGACATTTTTGACCCCGGATTCGTGTTCAGCACGAAAAATCCGTTCAGAAACACCAGGTCCCGTCTTATTCGCAGAAAAAAAGTTGAAATTTGTAGACCAGTGTAATTTTTGTTTACATACAAAAGTGTAAAATTTAAAACGTACGAAAAGTCGTCGCCAAGTGTTATACTGACACAGTTTATTGATTAAACAAATAACTACTTATTTCTTACAAGTTTAATTAGTCGCATTTTGTAATTTTTATCTTCCAAACCATCAAATTCAATTTTGTGATTTGCGTAAATGCCAACCAGCTGTTTTTGATCAGCTGTTTCCCTGTTGGCAAATTGCTGTTGGCAAAAATTTTTCCAACAGAAACTAACAGCTTCCCCTCAAAATGAAATGTCACTTTGCTCTCTCAATTTCCCCTACTTTGCAAGTTTTTTGCGTACGCGAACGCAAAAACCTGTAAGTTTTGGTTAAACTTGAACAATTAACAGCTACGCGAACGCGTATCTGTTATCGACATGTGCTCTAAATATAAGTTCATTGCTAGCTGGTGGAATATACGACGCACAAACGTACAGCGAATTAGATACTTTTTTACATTCACACAAAGCTGATCTTGCAACGTATCATTATTTTGAAGAATAACTAATGACGCTTGTAAATAACAACGGCATGCGATGAGCACTCCACCTCCTCTTATACAGCCAGTCTTGACTGGATCGCGATCTTTCCGGAAAACATCATAGTGCCTAATATCGAAGAACTCGGAGTCAAATAACTGTGGATTGAGCCAAGTCTCAATAATGACAAACACATCATACTCCAATTGCGAACTAAGCAGGTACAAATCCTCCGATTTTGTTCTAATACCAGAAGCATAGTGGAAATAAACTTTAATATTTCGCTGCCCGCCAAGAGAAGGCGTTACTGGTTTTCTGGGCGCAAAGTTGGAGTTTTCTCTAAAAAACGAAAAGGTCGCACTGCAACATTCACTGGCCAAATTTCAGGAATCAGCAGATTTTCATATGCAGACAATGGCACTCCCAATTTGAAGTTAACACTCCTCAAATTAGAAATTGATGCGTCCTTTTTTATTAGCTTATAACATGATAGCACATTTTTATTTAGACTCGCCTTCTCAGCAACATAACTTAAAATGTCATCAACAGTCACAGAGGGGGCAAACGATGCCAAATGCAACCACTTAAGTCGCTCAACTCCTTTCAAGCCGGCAGTTGCATCAGAGCCCAACACAGTATTTTGCTTTTTATTCTTCTTTTTATCAACAGTAGTCCACTGTGACTGCAAATAATCATCACCGATAGGCACACGTTGAGCGTGATTACTACCTGCCGAACCATCAACAGAAGCAGTAGTCAAAGAGAGCGTTTGTGTATTTCTCCCAACCAGCGTTGCCAGGTAGACGTTTTTAACGTCATTTGGACGTTTTTTGTATCCTGTTGACGTTTGGACGTTTTTTTGTGTAAAAAATTACGTTTTTTAACTTCCCAGTAATTTTTCTCTGTGACTAAATCTTGTACTAAGTAGAACTGATTTTGAATTATTTTCTTAATAAATCTTTACAAGCTTTGTGTTTTGCAGCAGCTGCTTCAAAATATATTTATTCTTTGGACACAAATGACTTAAATATGATGCATACCAAGCGTACGCGCATTTTTTTTTTTTTTTGATTCTTGGACTAGGGACCTCGTGTTCAAAGGCTGGTTGTGTAAACACTTGAGGTTACGAGGCTTATTGTAATGTTTGCAATTGCACATTAAAAGCCAAATCAGGAAAAGCTGATCTATTGCAACACGCACGCTCGCAAAAGCATCAAAAAAGCGGTAGCAGCATAAAGAGTCAGAAAAAAGTAGGCGGCTTTTTTAAGACTTCATTGAAAATGTAATGAACACAAACAAGGTTGAAAAATCGCTATGCTCCTTCTTAGCAGAACTTAATTTACTTAGGGTTCACACCGGACAATACTGTCATGACAATAGCAATACATGCACACTTTTTCACTAATACATGCATACTTTTCCATTAGAATAATTTTGACAACTAATACGTATATCTTCATTGTCATGACAGTATTGTCCGGCGTAAACCCTAAGTTAGCATTTTCGACAACCGACGCCCTTACCAAATGTCTACAAAAAAAAATATTAAAAATCAACGCGATTATTAGGCCCCTTTAAACATGCACATTATTGGACTGAAATTTAATGGGCTATCAAACTGCATATTCAAAAAAATTCTAAAAAATCTAAATAAAAAGTTGAAAATCTAGCTGAAGCTTTGCAGATTTTTTATAATTTTTGCACAAAGTTTGAAATGTGGATTTATATTTTGTTTGTTATATAATAAGCTTTGATTTTATGGAAAAATAATAAACATTAAATAAACAAAAGAGAAACAGCCAAAATCGATTAAAATGGTGATGACTTAATCAGCTTTTGATTTTTATATTAACGATCTCAAACCAGTTTACATTTAATTTTAAATGTCCTCTGTCAAAATGACAATTTTTTTGGACATTCATTTGAATAAGACGTTTTTGGGTAGGAAATGACGTTTTTTCAGACCACGAGGGGCGTTTTCTCATGCCGAAGACCTGGCAACACTGCTCCCAACATTGAATGCATCAGAGAAGGTGTTCACCGGTGAGAGAACATTGGCATTGGCAGTAGCAGCGGTTGGCAAAATAGCATTGATGTTTACAGCAGCATCATCAGTCATGACGATATGAGCAGGCACGTTCGTTTCTAGGGATGAAAATTTTCAGAGCCAACATCGATACATCGATATTTCGATGTATCGTAAACACTAACATCGATGCCGAAAAAAATCGCCCCAAAACTATCGATACATCGATATTTTCCGATGTTTCTCTTTTTTAATAAGTATGTTACAGGTACTTCATGATTTCCAGGTTTTTACAGGAAGCTGTTAACGTACGCCACCTTCCATAAGGTTTATTAATGGCGAAAACCGCTTTACCTGTAAAACCTGCAAATCCTGAAATACCTGGAACTGACTTAATGCTTGTTAAAATTTTAAGAAAAACCTAGTGTCCATCTAAACTGCTACACTGTTAACATTTCAATGGGTGGTTTTTTGAATTTAATTAGATTTCCTTCCAATGTCGTAATACATTTGCTGTTTACGCGCAGATAATACTTACACTCACCTTAAGTCGTGTTGAAATACTGTAACTACGTCATGGAAATCGCCTATGTTCAACGTTGCCAATTGCATTTATTAAGTGCAGGGCTGCCATCACCCGTAATACGCTTACCCAAAGGGCTCTGTCCCACGGTCAGTAATTATCACGATATTTGGATCGCGATCCATATTGATGGATTGATGGATCGCGCACGAATGCTACATGTTCAATATTTAGCGCGTCAGTATTTGCATATTTTTTTTTGCTGAACGCTTATTATGACGCAAGAAAATATTTTTATTTTGTACGTATAATTTACAGATAATACATTTACTATTTATGACAATTATTTTAAGATTTGTTCAATTTGTTTTGAAAGATTTTAAGCCCCGAGAGTGAAGGCAGAGCCGATGTTTACATTATGAGAGTAAAAGATGTACTAAAGAAATGTATGGATCGCGTTTTGAAAGTGCTACACGTTCAATATTTATTGACGGTATTGCGATCCGCGATCCAGATTTCAAAATTTTTAGAAATTTTGCGATATGGATCACGATCCATCAATACTGCATACTACACCAATAAATACTGACCGTGTGATAGAGCCCAAAGAATATAACATAAAGATGTGAACGCAATGGCAATTTTGAACCGAAACTAAAGTCGATATATCGCCAATTTTACGATGTTGAGTAATTTTCAAATATCGATGGTAAACATCGGTTTATTGGCCGATGTTATCGATGTTTCAGAAACATCGATGCATCGTTTGCATCCCTATTCGTTTCGCGATTGGATGTTGGCGCATGAGAAGTCAACATTGCAGTCAGTTTGTTACTACTATTAACTGCAGCAGTAGCACTCGACGTCGGCCCGACGTTAGCTGTATTAGCGAGGGCATCTCTATAGGTACTAGCAGAGAGCGGCGTAGTGCCAGCAAGTGATAGCTGAAACACAATGCCGGCGAACGGCGAACTCACCACAACGAAATTTGCGCTGTCAAAATTAGAACACCCACAAGCACATGAAATTGAACACAGCCAAAGCGAAATGCGAAGTTCGCCGGGCGCCGTTTCGCCGAGATAAAGATGGAAATCTGGGAAGCAGTTGCTCAGTCTGTAAATATGAGTGGTAAGTGATGTGCTTCAATTAATCAAATACAAATTAACAAATATTGTTGCTGAAATGCTTTCTTATACATGGGATTACTTGTTAACTAAATGCAAATTATTCGTTAGCGGACGCTTGTCGGAAACGTTGGAAAGGACTCCGAGACACTTACAAAAAACGAAAGCGCTCGGAACTGCTGGCCTCAGGTAGTGGCGCTCCGAATCCTAGCAAAAAATGGAAATACATGGAATTGCTGAGTTTTTTGGATGATTACGCTGATTCAAGACCGTAAGTTTCTATGTGTTATTAATGGAGCAACGATTAATTTTTTGATGGTATTTTATGTTTTTTCTTGTTTGCAGAACTGTTGGAAATATTGAACCAGAGATCTTATTTGAAGATTTGGCGGATTGTTCCACTTCTACAATCGTTGATGCAGATGCGAGTGTGCCCTCTTTGAACCAGAGGAAAGAAACAAAAAAGAAGGCGGACGCCGAGGTAACCTCTGTGTTCAAAGATGTAATGCAAGAATGTTCAGACGCTATTAAAGAGTTGACATCTGTTACAAATCCTCCAGAAAAAGTGCGAAATACGACCTCGCTTTTATTTGAAAGCTTGGCGAATAGGATTTCCAAAGCTAGTTGCCCCAAGGAGATGTGTGTAACATAGAATGTAAAGTTGCAGCTGTAGTGTATGATGAATTAAAAAAGGCAGGTCTCCAATAATTTTAGGAGTTTTCAGAAAGCGGCTGATGAATGCATTCAAAACATGTTTTTGTGATAAAGATGTGTTCTTAATAGTACAAATCGATGTATAACATCTAAAGTGAATTTAACTCAATTAAAAAAAAAAAAACATTTTATATACTCTAGTTTACAAGAAATCTTGTCTGTGGCACTTGACCACATTGCTTATGTAAAATTTTCTGCTGAATCCAAATATGAAAATATAATCAAAAATACCAGTTTTCGATATATGTACATATATATGGGTTAATTTGGACTTTTATAGATCTGAAAAAGTGCAGTCATATACCGTCAATCAATAAAGTTTAGGTACACAGAATTTTTTGCAATACGGGCAACTATTTTTAAAACATTTTAAGTTTCGCTAAGTTTTTATAAAAATATAGTTAACTCTACAACAAAACCCTGAAAATCAGAGTTCCAGATCTTGTGTAAAGTTAGAGAAAATTCTAAAAATTTTCATTCAAATACTGCACTTTTTATTTGCCCTCTTTAAAAAAAAAGTTGGGTATGCAGTTTGTTAGCCCATTCAATTTTAGTACAATACAGTGCAAGTCTGAGGTAGCTAGGACTTACTTTGTTGTACAGTTAACCATATTTTTCTGAAAACTTAGCGAAACTTAAAATGTTTTAAAAATAGTTGCCCGTATTGCAAAAAATTCTGAGTACCTAAACTTTATTGATTGACTAAGTAATTTATTTCTTTTTTAATACAAATGGCCATTCTCGAATTTCTTTTTGCACAGGTGAAGCTTATTCGATTTTCATACTCTTTTGATTTTTTTAATTTGGTTAAAAATTATGCAAACTTGTCGATAAACCAAACAATAGCTCTTAAACTACTTATCCGCTTGGAAAATGTCATTGACATAGATGATAGAAGATTTGATACGCTTCATAAGTGTTAGCAGAAATTTTAAGATTGGCCAGCTATGTTCAAAAAATTTGCAATTATGTGTTTGTACTTTTTCCGGATCTCAAAAACCCTAAATTTGGCTATATCTAACTTCATATTTGGGTTCAAGGGAAAATTTTTTATGAGAAATGATGGTCAAATGTCCCAGAGTAGGAACTTTAGTAAAAACTGTATACCAGTGAAACATATGTATGTATGAATAATTTTAAGTTTTATATTCTTTATATGGTGCCAAACTGAATTTTCATGGCAGACTCTTGGTTTTTATGAAATTATTATTTGGACTGAATTTATGAGTAAAAATTTTACACATATATGATTCTTGATATATGAACAAATTGCATAGAACCTTGAAGATCACACTTGGATATGGAATTTCAATAAATTTACACTGTATTTAACTAAGTAGCTCAAGCAAAAAAAAACAAATGGACGTTTAATAGCATGAAATGAATGGAAATAAAGTGCATTTAAAATATAAAAAAACCTTTAATTATTGAGTAAATGTTCCGCCAATTCATCTCTCGCTTGAAATGCTTCAGCTGTAGAACAGTTGGCTTGGGAAATGCGGATGGATCTCATTCCTGCCGAAGTTTGTCTCCATGTCCCTGGAGTAAAAACTCCATTTTCTACGTGATCAACTACGTTTTGATCGAAGTAGCCGCTGTTTCTATCAAGCATTAAATAGTTGTGGAGAACTACTGTGGCTAGTACTATTTTATCCAAATTTTTTCTGTGCTGCGTGGATAGTCGTGTGGAGTATTTGCCATCTATTTGCCAAAATACCAAAAGCGTTTTCAATATGTACTCGGGCAGATGAAAGTTTTTTATTAAAGTTTTGTTTAGCTGTTGACAAATTCCGACCTGGATATGGGCGCATTAGGTTCGGCTTCAGGGGGAAAGCGTTGTCTCCCACAAAATAGTATTGAAATCTTGTATTTGTCCCTAGTAATGAAATTTCAAATGCTTACACGTAATATATATGTTTATGTTTACGGGGCATTCCAGCCCTATTGCGACATAATTTGGCTTTTGAATCTACGTATATTTTTATAATTGTTTACGTTTTAGTACCAATTGAGAGAGGCCTCCCTGATCTTTTTCAAATGTGTTTTGTCCAACCATTTTCGAGATATCGATTTTTTTTAAATGCCCATACTTTAAAAATCGATATCTCGAAAATGGTTGGACAAAACACATATGAAAAAGATCAGGGAGGCCTCTCTCAATTGGTACTACACCATAAAATTATGAAAACATTCGGTTTATGCTGGAAGGCCCCATATATAGATATGTATGTACATATATAGACACATTAGACTGGGTCACGAAAAAATGTTTGCAATTACTCCCTTAGTTTGAAAGGTTACTTTGAGAGGATTTTAGAGTCAAATAACGAAAATTTTAATAGCTATGAGATCTTTTCAAATAAACTTTGCAGACTTTTTTCTTTAGTATAGACACCAACCCAGTCCAATATGCATGTGTAAATACATATTTATACTTAAGATCATTATTAGTTAGATTACTTCTGATTAATTAGGTTATATGACTTAATGTCCGAAATTTAAATGGATTAATTTAAGGAAAAGAATGAGAATGTTGGTCGGGAATAGGGGCGGCGATATCGATATGGAATTATAATGCATAAATAGGGTAAGTTGTTTGTTTTACTAACGTATTTTTTAATTCTTTTCTTATGAAATTTTACCCTCCACATGTTGAGCCTGCAATCTGCCTTCGGGTTACTTCTTTGATTGAAGTATAACACCTTTTTACTAAAAGAACATACTACTTTTTAAAATAATTTACAGAATAGTTTCCATACAAAAGTTATTTTTTAATGATGTTAAGTAAGAAACACTTCTGAAAATTTTATCAAGCAGGCATTTGTATCTGTCAGAGCCTGGTTCAAATTTCATTGATGATTTTGTTTAAGTCGCATACCCTTTAACTAAAACAGAAAAAAATCGGATCCTTGAACTAGCATTTAAAAATAACCTTCGTACAAGCAAACAAAAATATTTATTTTTAATATTTTTATTGAGCTTTGTACCACGATTGTTTATTAGGAAAAATTGAAAAAGCAACAAAGTCTAAGCGGTAGAAGTTATAGCACTATTTCGGAGATCACCACATCTCCTCATCAGACTTCTTTTTCTAGACTTCAGCAGGGAAAAAATATTTATTAAATAATCTTTAATAATCAAATTAATCAAAAGTGACCTTAATAATAATTTCCTTAAGTATCTAAGACGACCTTCTCCGTAGCCCTGTATATGTTAATACATATTTAACTTAGCGGGAATATTATCAGCAGGAGGAAGTTCAAGATTGTTTCTCAGTATCATGTTTCCAAACGCACTACGAGCGAAGATTCCTCCATCGCTTTGGCTTCCCAACGCACCTACATCGACAAACAGGAACAAATAGTCGGGATCACACATTGCCATTAAGACGATACTAAATGTCTTTTTATAATTGTAGTAGAGAGAACCACTACGCTTAGGGCAAACTATTCTTATGTGTTTACCGTCTATTGCGCCAAGGCAATGCGGCATTCCTGTCTTCACATAAAACCTTTCCATATTCATGAAAACATTATTTATTGAGCACACAAGCTAAAAATTTGTTGGCAAACCTGTCGGCAATGTCCTTCCACTCTCTTTTATTTAGTGGGGAAACATATACTGAATGTAATTCGCTCCAAATCGCATCACATGTTTCGTCAATTATGTTTCTTATTGTAGAAACGCCAATTTTGTGGGACCAAGCCAAAAACTGTGGACTGCAGCCTTGTGATAAGTATCTGAGGGAATATTTTTGGTTACTTAAATGTGTTTACATCTATATGAACTTAATTACGTCAAAGTAATTCCCAAGCGGGTGTCTTCGTTTATTGGCTCTCTCCTGGAAAACCGTTGAAGCTTTTCTCTAAGCAGAGTTAAAAGGACATTGTACTTGGGGACACTCATTCGCGTTGCTTTAAAGAAATCCTCCTTATCGTTCAGTTTTAATTGGGCAAAACAGGTTTCGTGGAAACCAAGACGTTGTCTAGTAAGATTTACTGGACATACCCACCATCTCCTCTTTAATCGTTGGCGCACAAGCAAATACATCTTCACCATCACGCACATAATATTTATAATTTTGATTATGCGTATTAACCGCGAGAATTCATTCATATTGAAATTAATGTACAGATATTTCAATCACTCTGCAGAAAAAATTTTCAGTGTCAAACAATTGCATCAGCTGTGTTCGCCGCCGCTCTAATTGTGTTAAAGTAGGCGAATTAGCAGGGCGACCGGTGAACGACGGCATCGCTCAATTCGGCGAACTTCGCCGTTCGCCGGTATTGTATTTCAGCTATGAGTTAGGTGCATTCGGCATAACACCAGCATCAGCAGACGAATTAGAAGACGTATGGCGCAGTAGCGAGCGATCACCAGCGCCAATTGTTTCACTGCTTTTATTGGCACGAACTGGCCCGATGATACTGGAGCCAACAATGCCATGCATTTTCCATACTTCAGCAGTAAGCAAAGAAATAGCGGCATCTTTATCATCAAGTTTAGCCCGTAGAGAAAGAATTTCTGCATGCAAGCTATCACATTTTTGCACCAATTGCTTTTTATCATCAACCAGCGTGCCTAATATTGTGAGAACGCGAACATTATCAGCTCTTAATGCAGCTAACTCTTTAGCAATAGTTGACATGGTTATTTGTTGCTTGTTAATTTGCTCATTTGACACAGTATCACTATTAGTTTTAGGCGTGATAACACTAGTAGCAGCAGCTCCCTCAGAAGCGACGGGGGGTGGAGGCGCGTGTAGGGAAGTACGACGCTCATTCGCACACGCTTTGCATACGAAACCCATGGTGAAATGAACTGAAGGTGGCGCATTCCCGAAACCACTACTTTGGCTTTGCCAACTTTGACATTTATGCCAATACGTAAACAAACTTTTTATTTAGAAACAAGTGCAAACGGATTGTGTACTTTCAAGTGAAAAATCGAAGTAATTCGTGCGTTCTGAAGTAAAAAACGTTTTATTTGTAATAAAAACTTTATAAAAAAGTCGTGTCGTGTGTTGAATTGCAGCAGCCGTAGCGGTAAAGCCCCCAAATGCAGTTTTTTTTTTACCCCGCGACGACGCCTTGGCCGGAAAGTGGGTAGAGTTCTGCCGGCAGAAGCCATATAATTTAGACACCAGCGTAATATGCATGAAGCACTTTACGGACCACTTTTAAACACGACATGTTAAGTTGAAAACGTTGAAATACCACAAATTAAAAATTAATATCGGAGGTAAGCAAGCATCGACCACTTTCTGCAGGAAAACATGCGCTGCGACAAGATATTATCACTTTTTCGGCACCTGCAATACAAACACAAAAATTCTAAATAGTTAATTAATAAGACCTATTCTTTTGAACACATTCCAAGAGTGGTTGTATATTTTTTGTTAACGTAGTGCTTAATTTGCTATATTCAAACATGGCTTGAGAAATTGGTGAATCGAGAAGAAAACACGTTTTCTCACTGCAAATTCACAACTGTCAACTCATTCTTTTTCGCCATATTCTTTGTTTACCCGTTGCCACAAATGTCATTCTGCGGGAATGCGCAATCTTGTATTCTATCGTTCTTGTACGAAACCCTTATCCGAACTTAGCAAAAAGTCGAGATCAGTCTGTTGCATACCAACACAAGCCAAGTGAGAGAATATTTTGCACTTGGCGCTCTGAACCTTCGATTGAGCACGGTCAACCTTCTGACCACAAACACAAGGCATAATGAATAAATTACTTGAATATGTTAATATGCATTTATTAAATAATAATAATAATAATAGTGACTCTATCTCACGGTTTTGCAAACATAAACGAATAAATAAATTAACGCAAGAGTCACCGGATTGTGATTGTTGTTACACAAAATACGGAGCGATAAGAAAACACGTCCACACGGTTTGACGTCTACTAACGAGCTGAATAGAGGGGAGAAAAGTAGCATACATCCTACATACGTACCACCGCGCGAACAACAGTGGCTCACACATACATAGATTTTTTTTTGCTTGTTACTTTAGCCTAGTTTTTATTTATTAGAGTTTTGCTTCTTTCCTAGTGTTCCATATGAACTCACCGTTTAACCTTCCTATACCCGCGTTAATTTTTGTAACACATATACCCGGAGGATGGTTCCGTGCGCAGAAGTGGAAAACTTTTGACTGCCATTCACCTGGGAGCGGCCAGAAGCGATTCTTGTGCGTACGGTTCAAATCGCAGCTCACAACGTCCGGATATTTATATCCACGTATCCTCTGGGTAGCAACCAAACACCCGTTTGGGAGCGAGCTAAAGTGAGAAGGCGTAAAACTTCGCGTGCGCTGGGTTTGGGTCCCGCCACGTTAAAACCCCGCCCAATGAAAAATTCCAACAAGCCTCGGATGAGACCCCCTTTTTCTGATGACGACCACGGCAAACGTATAAAGGACTATGATTTAAGGGTATGCACCTGGAATATCCGGACCCTTAATGGGGAAGGTGCCTCTGCCCGGCTGGTTGATGTCCTCGGGAAGACAAAGGCTGACATCACCGCCATCCAAGAAATGCGATGGACGGGACAAGGTAAAGTAAGCGTGAAGCCTTGCGACGTCTACTACAGTTGCCACGTAAAGGAGCGCAAATTCGGTGTTGGATTCGTGGTAGGAGAGAGACTCCGTCGCCGAGTACTGGCGTTCACCCCGGTGGACGATCGTCTAGCCACAATCCGCATCAAAGCTAGATTCTTCAACATCTCGCTCATCTTCGCCCATGCCCCGACGGAAGAGAAGGATGAGGCGTCCAAGGATCTCTTCTATGAGCGCTTGGAACGTACATATGAGCGCTGCCCCCGACACGATGTCAAAATCGTGCTTGGCGATTTTAATGCCAAGGTGGGCAAGGAAGGGATCTTTGGCGCCACTGTCGGAAAATTCAGCCTCCATGACGAAACGTCCGATAACGGACTGAGGCTGATCGACTTCGCCGGGGCCCGAAATATGGTAATATGTAGTACTAGGTTCCAGCATAAGAACATCCACCAAGCTACATGGCTGTCTCCAGATCGAAAAACGAGAAACCAAATCGATCATGTTTTGATAGAAGGAAGGCATGCTTCAAGCGTTTTGGACGTACGTACACTCCGAGGGCCAAACATCGACTCGGACCACTATCTTGTTGTAGCCAAGATACGCACCCGCCTCTGTGCAGCAAAAAATGTGCGCCCAACAATGCAAGGAAAGCTTAACGTCGAAAAGCTGCAATCACAACAGACGGCCAATTTATTCGCCACTCGACTCACACACCTGCTCTCTGAGAGCACTCTTCAACAATCCGACGTACGCGAGCAGTGGAACCACATTTCCCGATCATTAAGTACCGCCGCCGAAGAAGTAGTTGGATTTCAGCGAGCCCGAAAGAACAACTGGTACGATGAGGAATGTCAAGAAGCCGCAGAGAAAAAAGATGACGCATGGACAGAAACGCTCCTGCTCTGAAAATATTCAACGCAGGGCCGCGATGCTGGGAACAGAGGAAGAGGAAGGCCTCCTCTGCGTTGGAAAGACCAGGTGGAGAAGGACTTGGCTTCACTTGGCATTTTCAATTGGCGTCAGTTAGCACAGAAGAGAAATGACTGGCGTGCTGTTTTGGACTCGGCCAAAATCGCTTAGGCGGTTACAGCGCCAAATAAGAAGAAGAAGATACCCGCGCACGGTCTCACAGACCGAAAGTTCAAACTACATAAAATATTAGTTTTTTCAAACAAAACTAAAAACAAATTATTATTTTTCAATCCCGTAGATGTAATAAAAAAATAAAACTACGCATTAAATTTGTATTCACTTATTTTATTGATTTTAAGTGATTAACAAAAAAGCCATCAAAATCGATAATTTTTTCTTAAGTACTACAAAAACAAAACAATAACATATTTTTTTATTCACATAAATAAAAATAAGTTATAATAACTTAAAACACTTCTTGAACAATACATAAATTATAAATTATATTAGATTTTAGTCTTGAAATAAAAAATCATGGCATATCGCAATTCATGTAAAAATCTGCCTTAAAAAGAAAACTTACGCTTTTACCTCTTCAAAAAAAAAAAAACAAAAAATGCCTTTTCTAGCTTAAAAAATATTTATTTGCAATAAAAACGTCAAACTATCTTATTCATTATCCTTACGGAAACACTCAGGACACACCACAATAGCATGTTCCAAACAAAAATACTGTCGGCATGTAGCACAGTTGTAACGCGTTTTTCGGTTTTTCTTTGAGGAACAGTATCCACAGCGACCACTTTTATTAAACGATGTTCCAGAAGTAAAAAAAATAAGAAAGAAACAAAAAACAAAATAACTGCTTTAACTTCACAAAAAATTACACATATACCCGCGTCGGTCTCACAGACCAATTTTTATAAAATTCACCAACACGCCTGTCTAGTGCAAACGCCAAATCAACACTAATATAGAGCTTGCAAGAAAAGCGGAAGCTAGCAGTAAATTCAGCTTTGTAGAGTTTCTGGAAAAACAAAAATTTACTTAAAATCATTTTCTCGGTCTCACAGACCAACGCGTGGGTATAGGAAGGTTAATAATTTCTGGATCGGTTTAATGAATTTAAATTCCAATTGGTTTATCTTTTATTATCATTTGAGTTAAGTTTTGTAGAATTTAGGAGCTATTGAGATTTTTGCGTTTGTCACTTAATCAATTAGTTATCCAAATTTATTCACTTCCCATCCCGATAAGCAATTATGCTTTAGTTATTCTCTCACCCTTTTTTTCTTTACTACCTTTTACCATAGTTTTATTACAACACATGTCATTTAGTTTGCTTTTATTTGCCTCTTTAGTATGAACTTAATTTACATTAACTTTTCACGTTATCCTTATCCTTAGTTAACTCAATTAATTTGATCAACCTATATTTTTTATTTATGTACGATTCGGGATATTCGCGTTTTAGTTTATATTACACCTCAGGCTACACACATTCTCATGGTCATTCA